GGCTCCATCCAGAACAAAGAGTTTGTACAGTTTGTTCGCTTAATCTAGGTTTTGGAGTACATGACTTGATTTTAGACTGCAGGGGTAAGCAGATGCACTTTCTATTTTTTGGAGCACACTGTCAGCGGACTGCACCAGAGAACACACGCACTGCGGGCGACACCATACAGCAGACAACACACGCACAGCAGGCAGCATACGCATAACAGGCGACACACACGCACAGCGGGCGACAACATCCGGGCTCGATGCCGCTGGACTCTGTGGTGTGATGAGACTCTGTGCTATTGCTCTGTCGCGCATGTTTCTTTTTACCGCCGCGTGCAACTGCCAGCAATGTGAGCACAGCACCACATTAGTTCTCGAAACCTAGGACGCCGATCGCCATCGCACCACTTCGAGCGTGTGCTCCATTGCGGTGTCTCTGAGCGTAATAGTTGTGTTGGGCATGAATGCTGTATGTGGCGAGAGCATCGTGGCGATGTCAAATCCGGTTTGGCTTTTACGCCTGGCGATGCGGCCCAATTGCCCGGGTCAAAAAAAACGATTTGGATTCCACGCCGCCACCAAGCTCTTCCCAAACACAGCATCCATGCCTAACACAGCTGTCACGCCCCTAGGTATCGCAATGGAGCACACGCTCGAAGTGGTGCCATGACGATTGGTGCGCTAGGTGACGAGAACTGACTTGTGTCCTGCTGTTTCGCTGGCAGCTGGAGAAACACCGAACAAAAGAAAATAGGGACACAGGGGGTTCAGCCCTACTGTAGTATGCGGGGGGCATGTATGACCACGAAAGCAGGATGTGGACGGGGGGGCGGGGGTGACCGGTAGGTGAAGCTTTGAGTCTACAGGCTATTTGTAACCACAGCTCACACCAGCACAGCAGGTAGTTGATACGTGTGTGGTGTTTGCACTGTTTCCGCCAGTGGACGCACACGTCTGAGGACAGTTACATCTATCAGCTGTCGCTCGCTGTAGCGACAGCTATCCTATCTTAATGGGTGGCATGTCAAGGCGCATGTTTAGCGCGATGATCGTCATCACCCTCTCACTCAAACACACACACACGCACACACACACACACACACTCCTCTGTCCAGTCTCACTCCTCACTCTCCTTGTGGGAGGGGGGGAGGGGGGGGGGGGCAGGCTACGTTTTTTGTCCCGCCAGAATTGAACGGGCACAGCAGCATTTTCTAGGCCTGTCCTCCATCGGCCGTTTTGCTTGTATGACGGAGAATAAGAAGGTGGAATTACTTGAAATTAGTATAGAAATAAAGTTTGTGTATCTAAATCGAAAATAAAACGGCCGATGGAGGACAGGCCTAGCATTTTCCAGAACCAATTGTATGCCTACGCGGAGTCGAGCGTCGACAACAAAATGCGGCGGAACCGCTGCGGCAAGGTTGCGTCGCTACCGCGAAGGTAGAGCGACGGACATTGTACACATGGGCACCGCACGAAAGCTGCTACGTATATCTCGGTGGTGCAGCGGTAACAAGCTGCATCCACAGGCTCGGCTCTGTTTCCTCTCTTTCCTCGTTTCAAATCCGTTAGGGTTTTCGTTCTGCGCTCTCCTCAACTTTTGGTTCATCTCTCCCTGCTTGAGCTTACGGCCCTTGTGTACAACATAAGCTCTCGACGTCCAGTTGAGTTCGTGGGGACAAGCGCCACCGCAACGCACTTGTGCTGTTAACGAAACTTGGAACTATCGGCAAAACCCAAAAGCAATGATGTACTAGGTTGGTAAAACTTCTGCAAAGGCTGGCATGTCACCAAAGAACCCCTGCGGCGCATATTGGCAGCTGCAGTCAGCGAGCACTAAGCCAAGTGGGATCAACTTTTGATGGAGCTCCAACTTCCAAATTTCAATCATGTGAGATCCAGCTCCTGTTTGCCGCCAAAGCCTTTTCGCATTGGTTGTCTGCTGACCAACTACGACACGAGTCCTTTTGCGTGGCCAGCTAGATACACACGTGTAAATAGACATGATATCTCGGAACTTCCTTCAGGTTGGTGCAACTTTTGCACAGCAACGGCCTACATTGCTCCAACCCCTCTTGCGTCGCGGCATAGGCTCAGGCTTAAGCTCGTTATTAACGCATTGGAAAAGTCGTGCAATTTTACTTTTCCACGGAACCGTGATAAGAAAACCCGATTTGTATTCGCTTGTTCTATGTGTGATGTCATGGCAAAAAGTACGTTTACTTCCCTGAATACACGCTTTGCTCGGCACACAACAGGTTGACTTGCTGTTGCTCACCACAGAGCAGCGGTAAAAGCGCAATGAGCAGCACCCGACACAGAGGGCAACACACTTAGAAACATCCCATCCACCCGGCCTGCTGTTTTCAGCTTTCAGCAACAACAGGCGCAGGGCAGAGAGTCGCAACCTGGGTGTTGCTTGCGATTTCTTCAGTTTGCCAGCTCATTTTTCACGGTTGCGACTCCCATCTTTGACCACCACCTACCCAAAGGTAGACGAGCGCAACAATCATAGGGCAGGGCGACAGCCGCGCTGACGGCCAGCATCATATAGATGGCCAATCCGAAAGAATAAGCGTGTCGGAGGCCCTGTTGCTCTTCCGCTGCGTGGTTCCGTGGAGTGATGTTGACGTGTTTGACCAAAAGCAGATCGTCTCGCCGCATTTTTTTCCAACGGCATTTTGGTGAGGTGGCACACGTCTCTCACACACCTTACTGAGCAGCACCCAAGCACCCAATACCCACGAAGCAGCACGGCGCCGGGAGATGGTATCATAAAGACAACCGAACCGAAGGAATCAGCGCGTTGGAGGTCTTGGTGCTGCTGCTGTATTCGTTCTACTGTTTCCGTGTTTGCCATGTGTGATTGAACAAAATTCCCCAGCACCAACAGCAACAGTTGAAGACGAGAGCACCACGCAATGTTTAGTTCTGGACCAAGAACGGACTGAACTCCGCTTCTGCCGCTTGTCCATCTCCACAACAGATCTGGACGTGAATTTGGCAGGTCTTTCTAGGGTTCTCAGTGATGTTACAGCGCCCGCGGTGCGCTTGTCCGATGCTTCTGTCAAAAACACGGATCCATGAAAGTAGCAAGCCCCAATAAAACCCGACTCGTTCTTTTCACGTTATTGGGGAAAAACGCCTCCACATATGTTCAAGAAAACACGCTCCCGTGAAATGTTACGTGATTTTTTTGTCGTTGATAATATCCCTTACACATGGCAATGACCTGGCTGGCGTCGTACCGCCCCCCCCCCCCCCCCCCCCCCCCCCCCCCCCCCCNCCCCCCCCCCCCCCCCACCTCTTTCGTAGTCTACGTGCGGTACATGGGTGTGACACAGACATCAGTCATGTTCCTTTTTTTGCCCGTAGCTTTCGATCAGTGCTCACAGCTGACAGCATTTCTGCCGGGTACATATATACGAGGTATGCATAGCTCGAATCAATCCGCGGTCACACAGAAGGGTTCCTCTCCCTGAGGACCCCTACCCACCCACCCCTCCTGCTGTTCTTGCCTTCGAATTTCAACGCAAGAGCTGAGCACTTTCTCACAAGTGTGCACACCAACTACGATTAGCGCTTTCCGATTACTGCTGTAGTACCAGCAACGGCACGAGACAAGATGTCACAACACAATCAACGCGGCCATTCCCTTTCGTATCGAACGGGCTTATTCTCAGCGTCCCAACATATCTGTATGCAAAGCAGCAATCGTAGCAGCCATGGACACTGTGTTCAGGCAGGGTCGTCTATTCACGGCATGAATCAACGAGCTGCCATAACTGGCACTGCTGACTGAACCACTGGCTTCTCTGCTGCGGGTTGTTTGCCAGCTTCAACGGATGGATTCGGAAGATGGGTGAACGATTTTTCAAAGGTGTGCTGGTACTTCGGTGTAAAACAACCGATACATAGCCTGACCGGTGCAAATAGTGTCATCGTCATCGAGCGCTCTACGGAACTGAATTTGCGGCATCCATTAGATATATGCCGCCACTTCCTGACCTGCCATTACCGCTGCTGGTGTGTTGGGATGCAGGTTGTAGTTTGAACGAAGAGCCTGGCTCTTGATAGATTGTTTTTTATATTTTCTATTCTAAAGTTCAGAGCATATGCTGTGAACAGCTGCTGCTCTGAACAGCAACCAATGTTCCCCAACAAGGACAACTTCAGTCAATTTCTACAACGAACCGCAAGGGAGTCACATATAGGCTCGCGGCGACTGAGGCCGCAGCAGTCCAGCACCGAGGCCCCATGAAGTGTGAGAGACATGTACTGCTGTACCGATGTAGCAGCGTGACTGCTGCTGTGTCCTTTATCTAAAAATCGGAGAGATTGGACGAACAGGTTTGTAATGCTCCCCTGTGTCCACCCGTCACAACCCCCGACCCGTCCCCCGCCAAGTCCCCTCACCTTGCTCAGGATCTGTACTCGAACGACGTTCTGCTTGGCACCGCTCACGCCTGCTGCCACCAGGCCGAGCAGCACAGCAACTGCAAGGCGGAATACTAACATCGTTCCAGCTGCGTTGTTCTCCGCGCTCGGCGCTTGTGGTTTTTGAGCGGGTCACTTCCCTCTCTCTCTCCGATACGGACGGCAGTGCAGCAAGACGTGGCCCCAAGGACACTACTATAAACCGCTACCGTAGGTCCTCAACTCTCTCGTTCAGCCGAGGTATACTGCTGTGTTCCGCAAGCGCCGCAAGCGGAAGCTTTGTGTGCTCCCACCCTCTCTCCTAACCCTGTGTGATTTTGTACCCTGCCCTAGTTCTGGAATCCCCCCCCCCCCCCCCCCCCCCCCCCCCCCCCCC